GATGCATGCATGCGGTACGTTTGTATACTCCGAGGATGAAAAACGCATAGTTGGGTATTTGAGAAAAAGCGATCGGGTTGCCACGCTCCAGCACTTGGAGTGTGTGGTTGATGAAGAAGAATGTTGCGAGTCCGTGTTTGCTAGAACGAGCCGTTCCATCCGTTCTCCGTCTATTGTTTGTGTACGATTCGTGTGCTGGTGTTTTTGTTTGTTTGTAATGGTGATGAGGATGATGAACGCCGTTGATGCTCCGTGCCGTAGGTGATTTAACTCCGAAATTGCTTGACAAATAGAAAGGCGTAGAGCGGCTAGTTGTTTCGGTGCCGTGTCCGAGTGCCAGTGCTTGAGTGGTGGTGTGTTTGCTTTTGCTGGTGGCGGGATAGTCAATGGCCACCAACGGAGGTTGCACGGCCAGGAGAGTACTCTCCCCTTCGACGAGCTTCCTCGCGGATGTACTTCTCAACGTGCTGGTCGGCTTCGGCACGGCTCACGCCAGCGGTAAGGTAACCGCCGGCGTCTTCTTCGAGTTCCAAGGGAGTGACTACCCCAGGGCTGGCGAGTGGCTCCAGACGCGGGCTGGTTGGCTTCGGTCCAAAGCCCCTGTGTTGACGGCTCGTGTTGGCGAGGAGTTGTTGCTGGTAGAGGTACATCTGTCTCTGGACCTCGTACTGCCTGTTGGATGATCGAGGCGAAGCGGGCGAGTTGGGGCTGTCAGGACCAGCAGTAGGCGTGTTTGCGTGGCTTGAGCCTTGGGACGAAGCGTAGTTTGCTGGGTGGAAGCGGGGCAGAGAAGGAAGCCTCAGGTGTGCAGCAGGGCCGGTGTTGCTAGATTGCCGTGGGTTCATGGCTGGTCGACGTCGAGCCTGGGAAGGAATGTCGAGAGGCTGTGATCTGGGCGAGAGAGGCGAGCTGATGGCAGGCATGCTGCGGTCGGCAGTTCGAGAAGACATGTTCTGGTGAGAGGTATCGGATCTGAAGATGACTCGCGAAAGGGAAGGCGACGTTGGCGGAGATCGCATATGACGTGTGGCGAGTGTATCTCGCGTTCACCTGGAGGAAGGAAGGGTGCGGCTCCGGTGAGTTGTTATATCAACTTCTCCTGAATGACAGCGAGGAGAGGGATAATCGAAAGATGGAGTACCGTGCTTGCAGGCAGCAAAGCACAGAGCAGCGGCGGTGTCTAATATATCTAGCAGCGGGAGGGTCCAGCAGAGGCTTGGGACTTGGTGGCAGGGCTCGGGGATGGTAGCCGATCTTAATGGAAAGGTACAGCGTTGATCTTCCGCTTGAAGGCGCACCGTCGTGCGGTAATCGTTCCTGAGAGGGTAACGAGCCTGATGCACGGCTCAAGTGGACCCCGTTTCAATGTGGTGGAAGCACAGGCGCCTGCTACTGGCAGCACACCAAGCCGGTGTCTATCAGTTGCAACAGGTGGCTGCGGGCCGGTTATGGCGGAGTACAGATGGCGCGTGTGTTTTCCCGAAACCTGGGTCCACAATCAAAGTAAGATGGAGTGCAGTGCGTCGGCTAGGAGGGTTGAAAGCTAATCTAACAGTGAATAGGATAACTGGTACACAGCGGCCTTTACATAGCTAGTACCGACGGAGGACAAGGCCGCTACAGCGAGGCGCGCCATGATAGCAGGCGCTATAATCTCGTCATTTCACCTCGCAGGCCTTGGTTTCGCGGTTTGGGCGGGGCGCTGAATTCCTGCCTCGCTAGCCATGCGAATCGTCCAACACGCCTAAGCAGCTTGTGCAGCTTGTCCGTTATGACGCAGTGCAGCATGCCCGGCTCATGATTAAGACCGAACACGTGCCCGCCTTAGAATGCCCGGCGCTAAACGCGTGGTGCGAAGAAGCATTGCAAACTGCCCTCCATTGCCCTGCAGCGCCGTGGTGGGTGTGATAGGGTACCGTTGCATCTGCAGCAGAGCCCTGCGCCAGGTTGCAGCAACGTCTTTTTTCTTTCACGTCCGCGCGCGTGCTCTCCAAAGTACGGTCTGATGAGACCAAACGGTAGCGCCTTCAAGACATGACACCACCACACTGTGGCCGCAACGCCAAGCGCATTCCACCTGTGCAGCACAACTGCGACATTCTTCGCAAAAGGGCATGCACATATTGGCTGGATGTAACGACGTGAACCGATAGTGATCCATCATGCGCCTTTTTCTCTGTCTATCCCGAAGTTCACCCTAACATCGCCGAAGAATATACGTGCGATATTATTTGGAGGGAGAGCCGCTCGCACGGTACAAACAATGCTGCACAATCCCATATTGCCCAACATGCGGAAATACCGCCTGAAGGGACTGCCGCCGAAGCCGCTGCTACACACAATTCTTCCATCGTCTACCGAGCGCTGACCGATGACGCCAGCGCACGAACTTTAATGTATGTGATGTTCTTCTAGAGAGGGTTCGGCTTTGCTCGCCGCGATGCGATGCCGTCACGTAGTTTGGCTTGGGCACCAGAGGACAGAGCTTAGCGCGGCTATCAGAGCAGTTGTTTGGGCATCCCGTCAATGCGTCAACTTGCGATGGAGAAGTTGTACTGTTGTACAGCTTGGTAGATCTCCCGCGTGCGGCTCAGGTAGATGAAGCCATGCAGCCGCCGGAGGAGCTCGGCCACATTGAGTCGGCGCACGCATTAGCATGGGAATAGGCAAAAGCAATGGAGATTGAGGCTGCTTGTGGAACACCGAGGTAAATCGCGGCAAACAAGACCGCTTTGAGAAGGTGTCACAGGTACTAAATCACCAGCGACATGTCTCGGGTCACTCATACTATTCGCGGTACGCAGGTCGTGTCGTGAGATATTTGGATTTGTTGGTTGATGTATGTCGCTGCATGCTTTCCTTAGTATCATCTCGCGCCTAGCTTCTCCAGCGCCTTCGCGCCCTGCTCCTCCCACTCTGCCTTTGATATCCACATGTTCTCCTTGTCGGCCATGATGTGCGCGAGCACAGCTCCACCGAGGAACACCATGTGCCTTCGCCGTGGCGGGTCTTCGATGCGGACCTTGAATTTCTGTGTCTGTGTTAGCAGAGTTTAGCCGGCATAGTAGGTGTGTACCCACGTTGAGTCGCTCCGGGTTTCCGCCCAAGACCTTGGTGAGCCACAACTGCTTGAGCTCCTTCTCCAGCCGACTTGGCAGACCCGGGTACATGCTGCTACCACCACTGAGCACAATAGCCTGGTATAAACTGCTCCTGACATCGACGTCGGCCGCTTGGATCGTGTTGAACAGGAACTCGGCGATACCGGGCTGTTCAACGTCCACGAGATGCGGCTGGAACAGACATTCGGGAGCCTCGAAGCGCTCACTGCCAACCCGGATGACACGACCATCAGGTAGAGTGTAGGATTCCACCAGCACGGTTGTGTCTTCGCTAAGGCGCTGGTCCAACTCAAGGTCGTATGAGACGTAGCAGAGCTTCTCCTTGATTTGACGGACGGTCTCGAAGTCGGCGGTTCGGTTGAGAGCGTATCCTCTCCGCAGGAGGAGGGCGATGAGGTTGCGGGTCACGTCGCGTCCGGCGACATCGAGACGGCGTGTGAGATGGTTTAGCACAGTGCTTTCGTATACGGGAACAATATGCGTGACACCATCTCCCGAGTCGACGACCACACCAGATGACAATCCCTGCGCGTATAGAGCTAAGACAGCCTGGATCGCCACGTATACACCTCCAAATCCGTAGCGCTCGAACATGACTTCGCACATGGTCTCGCGGTTCTTGAGCGGGTTCATCGGCGGTTCAGTAAGGAGGATCTTGCGGCCGGTAGTGTCGAGCTTCATCTTGTCGTGGAAGGTGTAGTCCCAGACGTGTTGCATGTCATCCCAGCGCTTGACGATACCATTCTCCATCTACGGACAAGACAGCGTTAGCTCCAAGGTAGCTTGAGAGATCTCGACGATGCACATACAGGGTACGTGATCTGAAGCATTGAGCGCGCTGCCGCTGCTTCGTCACCGCACATTATGTCTTTGAGCTGGATGTCACCGCCATCTCGCTCTTCGGTTCGCAGGATGGGTCGGCCGACTATCGAGGGGAACTGGTGGTCGGGGAAGTTCTGGAAAAGGACCTGTTAGCTTTTGCCATGACCTGTCTGCCGCGTTGTATAGAACATACCTGTCCGGCGTAACCCGCCTTGAGGAAACCGGTACCGCCATCGAGGACTAATTGGAGGGTAAGTAGAGCTTCACATATAACTGAGGCCGCTGCGCATACCAATGGGAGCTTCAGCCATCCTGTGCAAAGCTCGAAAGGGTTGTTGAGGCTGAAGGAGTGGATGTTGGAAGCTGGCCGTAGCTCGGGGCTGCCTGCCTTGAGGTTGACGACGTTGGCGGGGCGCATGGTTGGCCAGGGGTCCGTGAGCACTCAAACGGGCAATGCGAGGCTCACAACAACTTGAAATGCGTCACTTCATGTCTTCAAGATTATGAGATAACTGTAGAATTATCACAAGCGGAGAACAAAAGCAATGTACAGCGTGTATGATATGCTACACATCTCATGGCGCTGCAGATCTGGCGTACGAATGAGGTTTCTGCGTCAATAACCCATACAGGAGGACAATTGACATGACTGCACCCAGAAGCCGTTCATGTATTAGAACTTCTAGATGTCTCTACAATCACTGTTTAGAACCAACCTTGGAAGATGCTCAGATGTGGTCACCCACCTCATGCTAGTCGCATGGTCACCCACCTAGGAACTTAGGGAAGTCGCGACTTGCGCATCGCTTAAAACATGGTCCGAGCGCCTCCTGCCCACTTCAATATCGTCGTTCTGCAACACCGAACTTTCTCTCCAGCCAGTTCAACTAACAGCAGGTCAAGATGCCTTTCGTAAGTACGCCCTGAATTGCGCCCGCAATGCACCCCTTCATTCCATTGCCATACGGCAACCCCGCTTCGACGAAAGTCGAGTGGAGTCTTTGCGAGATGCTTCGAATGCGGGTTTGAAGCGCCAATCGCTGACTCTGTCAAAAGTCCAAGCTCCAGAAGAACGATGCCTACTTCTCGCGGTACCAAGTCAAGTACAAGCGCCGCAGGCAGGGAAAGAGTACGTATCCAGTTCACTGTTCAAATCGCGACTTCTCTAACAATCTGCAGCCGACTACTACGCCCGTAAGCGGTTGATCACCCAGGCCAAGAACAAGTACAATGCGCCCAAGTACCGCCTCGTCGTCCGTTTCACCAACAAGGACATCATCTGCCAAGTCGTCCACTCCGAGATTGGCGGTGACAAGGTCTTCATGGCTGCTTAGTACGTCCCCGCGACTACGCTTTGCCAGACACACCACTAACAAAATCCAGTGCCCACGAGCTCAAGGCTTACGGCATCACTCACGGTCTTACCAACTGGTCCGCCGCCTACGCCACCGGTCTTCTCCTTGCCCGCCGTGTCCTCAAGAAGCTTGAGCTTGACGAGGACTTCGTTGGTGTAGAGGAGGCTGACGGTGAGTTCACCCTCACCGAGGCCGCCGAGGTTGACGGCGAGGAGCGCCGCCCATTCAAGGTCTTCTTGGATGTCGGTCTCACCCGCACCTCCACCGGTGCCCGTGTCTTCGGTGCCATGAAGGGCTGCTCCGACGGCGGTGTCTTCGTCCCCCACTCCGAGAACCGCTTCCCCGGATACGACATGGAAGGCAAGGAGCTCGACGCCGAGACCCTCCGCAAGTACATCTTCGGTGGTCACGTCGCTGAGTACATGGAGACTCTCGCCGACGACGACGAGGAGCGCTACAAGTCTCAGTTCAGCGGCTACATCGATGACGACATCGAGGCTGACGGTCTTGAGGAGCTGTACCAGGACGCACACAAGCAGATCCGTGAGGACCCCTGGAAGAAGGAGGAGGGCGAGGCCCCCAAGAAGTCCAAGGACGAGTGGAAGGCCGAGTCGCAGAAGTACAGGAGCAAGAAGCTCACCAAGGCCGAGAAGGAGGAGCGCGTCAAGGCCAAGATCGCCGAGATCACTGCTTAAGCTGTTCCTTTCTCTTGTTCCTACTTTGTTCTATCATGACAAAAGCACGGCTTTGGCGTCTGGGGATGACATGGAAAGGATGCCTGCCTTTGCAGGATACATCTACTGTACTTAGCCTCACGACCTCAATGAGATGACGAGACGGCAAGCCGTGATTGGCTACCACAACAAGATACCCCCCCAAACAATGTGCCCCTCCTGTTCAGCGTGTGTGAAGTGTTCTGAAATAGTAACATGTGACACGCGCGTGTGGTCGGTAGTGGCCGACACCACATGGCGTGCTGTCGCAGGTTTGACCATGTGGAAAGACAAGCACGGGTTGCTGTTTTTGTGTGGCCATGACGGTCAGGTGTTTCAGCGGCACTGAGGGGACAGTCGGTAGTCAACGCTCTCCTCCGCGGAGGCATCAGCCAGCAGCAGAGTGAGGCATGTGGATATGTTGCGGTTAGGTTCGTTTCAAGGAAGAGGGTGGACGGGTATATAGTCCATCCTCGCAGTCGATCATGATGTTCGGCAGGATTGAGTGCGCGATAGAGCTTGGTGTGGAGAGGAGAAGGAGACCCGAAGCGCAATCAGCCGACACCTTTCGTCATCGGCCGGCTCCCACAGCTTGCAGTGCACGTTCGCCATAACATCGCATCGGCCGAACTCGCACAGAGCAGCTCCCAGAAATCACGCAGCCGTCAGCCTTGAGTGCAGCGAGTCGTTGAAGTCGCACGGAACACGTTATCTGGAGAGTTTGCAGCATTTCCAATCGGCGGATTCTCGTGGAAGCAGAAACCCCGCTGACTTCCGTCCGCCTCACCGAGGCCGTCTGCAACCCTGACGCATGGCGAGAGGCCTATATACGCAATGACAGCCGTACAAACGCCCGGCGATACCGCGTCCGCCATGGAGGACATTCACGGTGTTGATGTATCATGGCTGCATCACTCGACTAGAGGTACGTGAGGCCCGCTTACCCTGCTGGGTGGAGACGTCTCGGCTTTGCGGCGCAACCCTGAGCTTGAGAGGCTACTAACATGTCGCGCCTGAGCAGACCATCACCATCGCCAGCAGGCGCCCTCGTCGCCCGGCCTGACCAGAGATGCGCCGCCCAAGACATCGTCGCATGGTGGCCTACCCGCCAGACCCCGCCACGACGAGCAGCAAAACAATGAGCCGACACCGGCGCCTACGAGACCCGCATCACCGCCGCGACCGCCCCTAGCTGCGGTCGCTGGCCCAACTCCTCCACAAAAGATACCGAAGCGTCCAGCGCTGCTTGGCCGCGGCAGTACCGACAAGAATGCCAGCGGCACGACGCCACCCGACGCGAAGAACAGCTCGCGACGCAACTCGTGGATGAACAGCATCAGCTCCAAGTTCTCGTCGCAAAACTCGCCCGCCGCAACAACACACACCCAGGCCCAGGGCTCGCCCGCTGCTGCTAACGGCACAGCCAACGCGTCACCCTCGGCCAACGGCGCCCTGAACGGCATACAGGCAGCTTCGGGAGGCACTAATGGCGCGCCCGAGCCCTACATACCGCAGCAGCCTAAGAGCTCGTTCGTGGGGAACGTGCTGCGACGCCTGTCATCCGGAACCCAGGTCGGCACCGCTGGCAAGGTCTACCCGAACGGCGGCATGTGCCCGCGCAAGATCATGAACGTCGACCCCAACCGGGAGCGATGTCTAGTCCCCGAGCTGGATCAGAACAAGTTGCGCAAGGTGGCATTCTGCGTGGACGTTGAGATTGCTGGTGGACCCAAGTACAAGGATGACGTCGAGACAGACGACAAGACCAAGCGCAAGGAAAAGAAGCTGAAAGAGCGCGGCGAGGGTGAGGCACTCAAAAACCCGGATGCCGTGGCGGAGGAAAAGGACAAAGACGGCGTCGTCTCCATCGCCCAAGAAGTCGTTGGCAACGATTCCGAGTCGAACCCAGAGGGAACAGTCGTGCACGAGGATAAGCAGGAGCCGAGCCGGAAGAAGGAGAAGAAGAAGCGATCTGAGGCTGAGCGCAAAGAGCGGAAAGAGAAGAAGCGCAAGAAGGCCGAGGAGAATGGCACAATCCCCATGGAGCTTACTAGAGACGACGACAGCGCCAGCGCCGAAGGGATACCTGCTGCGACTGGGGCGCCGACCCCTCGCGCTCAAGACCGCCCGACGATCGACCCGCTGCGTATTTACCGAAGATGTTGCCAGCTCCGCGAATCCCCCATTCTTAAACGCATCAGCGACCAGCTTGCGGCACCACGCGCGTGCTCCGTTGTCCAGCCAGGAGTTGTCACCTGTCTGGACCTGACAGGGTCGAGGTTGCAGCTGGCCGACGTTCTTACGCTATCGGACTGGCTCGCCATCGTACCTGTGAAGAAATTGTTTTTGGAAGACGCGGATCTGAATGACGAGAAGATACGGGTCATACTCGCCGGTCTCCTGGCTGCCAAGGTTCCTGAGCCGCCGAAGCGACGTGATCTATCCAACGACGGAACTCAGGACGGGCTGTGCCAGCAAGGCTCATGCGCAGTCAAGAAGCTGGTTCTCAAGAACAACCCAAAGATCACAGCTGAAGGCTGGAAACATATCGCTCTGTTCCTATACATGTGCAAGTCTATCATGGCGGTCGACGTGTCGATGATACCGTTTCCCAAGTCTCGCCCGCAGGTGGCTTCTCCGCCTACGAACAGCACACAGGCGCCGTCACCCACCAAGGACGCTAAATCGGCAGATGTAGCCGAAATATTCTCCAAGGCCATTTCGGAACGACTGGGCGGTTCAGAACTTCAAGAGCTAGCCATGGCTGAATGCAACCTCACTTCGTCAAGCATCCGAAAAATCATCGACGGCTGCGTCATCAGCGGTATTACACGTCTTAGTCTGGCGACGAACGACATCGACGCCGAAGGCCTGGAACACGTCCTACACTACTTGCGCTCTGGTGTTTGTCAGGGTATTGACATTGGAGGGAACGACCTGAGATCATTGATGGACAAGATTTGCGAAAGTATCAAGGCCTGCCCGAACAGCCCACTCTGGGCGCTGTGCCTACAGGATACTAACCTCACTCCGGACGCTCTCAAGACACTTATTCCGACTCTCATCAATCTACCTTCCTTCAGATTCCTGGATCTCTCGCACAACAGAGGCCTCTTCCTGGGCCAGACATCCCTGTCTCTCCTGAGGAAGTACATGCCTCAATTTAAGGAGCTGAAACGCATACATCTCATGAATGTCGACATGAAGCCAGAAGATGCGATCGCTATTGCGGAGATTCTGCCGGACTGTCCACACATCGCACACATCAACATTCTCGAGAACCCTGAGATAACACGCGTCGCTAGTTCTACCGACGAGGAGACACAAGAAGAAGCTGCTGCGCTGTATGCATCACTCACTCTAGCGGCCAAGCTGTCCAAATCGCTCATTTGTGTCGATGTCGATATCCCAGCTCCAGAACAAGGCGAAGTCATCAAAGCTCTCGCCAAACAAGTCGTCGCATACTGCTTGCGCAACATTGAATCCATCAATGAAGTACCCGAGCTTCGAGCAGCACCTAAGGAAGTTGAGGTTCCAGACATCCTGCTGCATTTTGTCGGTACGGAAGACAATTACAAGGGTACTGAAGACGTGTCAAATGCTGCAGATAATGACTACATTGTGGGAGGCACAGGAATTGCGAAGGCGCTTAGCTACTGTCTTTCACACAAAGAAAACGATCTCCGAAGGGTGTCTGTCCCAGCAAGTGGTACCTCTACTCCTAGAAGCAGGAACAGGGTACCAGTGCTTGAAGAGCCGAGCAAGGCCAGAGCCATGTCCAAGGATCTTCTCGAGACTGCGCGAAACACACGGTCAAGAATTCAGCCTGCACTTATCAGAGAGGCGAAGAGTGACAATGACCTGAATTACCGTAAGCTTCACCACCTTTCCATCATGTTGATATGCTAACATCCCGATAGGCCGTTTACTTTTCCTGGATACCACACTCCAAGGCATGATCCAACGCTTCGAAGACGAATACCCAGAGACGCGTCTCCAACCATCCGACGCTGCTTCCACTACGAGTTCCAAACTCAGCAGCTCTCCGCCTACTTCATTTGTACCAACACTCGAGAACAGCGTCTCAACAGACTTCACAGCCGATCAATCCGACGAAGACGAACCCTCCACCCTACGCTCGCGCCACAACTCCGACGTCTCCCTCGCATCCCGGCACATGTCCCTCGAAGAAGGACGACTCCACCGCTTCGGCCACCGCGTCCGCACCGGTCTTTTCAACCCATCCCGCCCCACCACTCCCGACGTCTCCGAAAACCACGTCTCCTTCATTTCCGGTACGGCAGATGACCAAGGTCTTCCCGAACACCTTCGTACCCTGCGCGCATACTTCCAGAACTACAGCGGCGACGAGATGAGGCATATGATTGAGGGCAAAGGCTGGGAACAGGCTTTCAACAGCGTCGTGGAGAATGCTGAGGAGCTGAGGAATCTGGAGAAGGAAGATCCGGAGCAGTTTAAATTGTTCAAGGAGAGTCAGATTGCGGCGCTGAAGAATCGTAATCCGGACATTTTTGCGCCGGGGGAGAAGGGCAGGGAGAGTGTGGAGGCGGATGGTGGGGATGACTTTGCTATTGAGGATTGAGGATCGACATTCTGAGGTGGGCGTTGGGGAAGTTGCAGAACGGTGTTTAGGGTATTGGGCATGGAACCAGTGTAATATCCAAACTGCCGACTTCAGCTGATAATGGTGGTTAAGCCACTGGAGCGTGACCCGCTCAGCCCAAGTGTTCATTCTTTGTATATTTGTAACATAGAGCCGTGATGGCTAGCACTATCGCCTTGAATGGCGTTTTCATTCGAATTCTCATTATATATTACAATCACCTTGACCTTGTTCCAGACATATACGATTGGGTATTCGTGATGACTACCTCTCGCTCGGAATAGTTCAATGGATGGATGCGGCTTCCGCACTTCACGTGGGGGTCTCGTGACGCAGTGTTGGGTATAAAACTGCTTTCCTTCCTCTTACCTGCTTTCTTTCTTCATCACACACTTCCTGCAATATTACCAAAAAGCATTGAGTTACAGATCCATGATTCTGCCGGCTGTCTCGCTCTTTCAAAACTTCATCCAAAAAGCTTGGAGATAACGTTCCCATGGTTTCTCCCCCGCCTTCTCCCCTTTTTACGGCAACGAAAAGAAACACAACTTCGAACTTTACATGAGAAGCTTGACAAGGTTGGAGGCAGCCTTTACAAGTGACCTTTTCTTGTGCTGAAAGAGATATTCCAATCATGGATGGGAAGACTGCAGCTTTGCGGGTTTTCGAAAAGGGTGCTATCAAAAAGGGCGGGTCAAAACCATATGAGAGGGTCTCGGGTCGAAAATTTGACTTCACAATGTCTATGTGCGGTTTTTCCTCTCCAAAATAGCCCGCTCTTAGATCCGATGAGAAGAGCCTCTTCCCGGATCGGTTCATGGGTAGACTAGCTCGACGGGTATAAAAGCTATGCTTGAGCTGCTCCCTCCTCTCCTCCTTCATCACTCTCCAGTCTATTGTGAGCACCAAAAACGACGTCACCTCTGGTCAATGTCTGAGATGAGTCTGTGTTCTTCCAACATTTTCCAAAAAAGCATGTCCTACGTACCAATGGACTCGGCTCTTGCGTGCGGGTACAACGTACAGGCGTGCTCTTCTCATTTTGAACCCCAAAAATAAAAAACCGAACAGTCACGTCGTATGATTAAACTTCGGCTGCTGTTCCAAAAACAAGTTTGGGGACGACATGTCATTGCAGACGATGCTTCGTGACATCAAACCAGCTTCTGAAGTTTACATGGTCTGCACCAAAGCTTGTCAATCAGTGTCTTATGCCGTCCGAAAAGTCTGCAATATTCCTTCATGGCTTGCTCGTCTTTCCCTGGTCTTCTCGTCGGGTATATAAACCCTCCTTTCGGGCTTTCTTTCTTCTTCGTCGATACCTTACAGAAGAAGGAACCTTTACCAAAAGATATATGCCATCATGACATGTCTGCGCGAGACTCTTTCCTCGTGACATGAGTTTCAAAACCGGCCACCGGTATACGCATGACCTGTCCGTGCTGTTCGAGTCGGCAAAAATCGATTCTTATTCTGGATATGGGCAGAGAGGCCGTAAGAATCGAATTGAAGGCAATATGGAGATCCTACCGCGGACGATCAAAAGACCATCTTCACTGCGCATGGAGCGGGGAGTGCTTCGCTTATTCGACTTGTCCGTACACCTAAACCGCCACTTCGGAATACTGATGAAGAAGACGTCAACGTTTCTATTGCGCACTTGCTTTCAAAACATTCAGATGATATCTCCATATTGTGGGAGTCATTTTCCCAAAATCGACACAAGATGGAGTCATGGGGTTGAGACCTTTTGCTACACTCTAAAAGATCCATATGTCGCCTTCATGTCGCTCCGCCTCAGACTCTGCCCACTCGCCATGTTGTTGTTAGTGCGGGCTGCATATAAAAGAGTCTTGCTGCCGCAAGTACACTAATTTCTTCCTTTACACTATCTTCAGCGAAAAGCTGGGGAACTACCAAAATACACACCTCATCATCTCATGTTGTTCGGTGCTCCGGTTCTCTTCCCTGATCAGCATCCAAAATCAGAGATGCAAAAGCACATGGTTCGCCTTTGCCAGTCGGCACATTCTTCAATATGTCGGAAAAGAAAAACTTGATACCGAATTATTCATGTTGAGGCCCAAGTGATTGGTCTTAAAGTGGTGATTGAATCGTTCATGATTTGAAGTGGACTGCGATTAAACCATGGAGAAGTCTTTCGGCACTCTGCAAAATTACACCATTTGGAAAGAGTGTGAGAAGTCGCTGGCTTCAAAAACATCGAAAATGGAAACATGGACTGCGTCCACCAATACACCGCCGATTTCCTTCCATGTCGCGACTTCGAAATCAGCGACAACATTGATATGAACCCCTTTGAAGCACTGCGCAGGTGATGTATACACCTGAGTTGAGAGTTTCCAGCTCTATTCCATGGATCTGGACGGTACTTCTACTTGGAGCATAGTCTGACAAAGTCAGTGGGACTCACTATATGAACCCTATTATTTGCGCAGTCTTCCCTCCAACTTCAAACTCATCTTCTTTCTCTCAAAACACTAAAAAGCCTTCGCGACGCACCTATGGAGCTTTCTCCGTGCTGGCGCCGTTCAGATACTGAAGTGGTGTTTTCTCCGCGCCGAAAGATCTCAGGAAACGGATGAAGAAAGAAGGGAATACTGTCATTTTTGTTATGAGTGATGTTTTGTAGCACTTGGATCAGGCTTAGGGGCATCTAGGGACCTCCTTCCGCTTTGACTGCTCTTCTTCTTAACACAACGAGCAACGTCCATGACATCGTATGCCTGTTGCCCACCCCTCGTGCGCCTTTAGCTCTGGTCGGGACATGAATTTAGTCCGAGCTAGTTGTTAAAATGGTATCTTGGTATGCCGTGTGATTGCGATAGCTCTGATAGGATTCTGCCGTGGCTGCTTGAAGTGGAGATGTCGAAGCGCCGACGAGGTGTTGACAAATTCGCTGGACCGTAGATCAAAGCCATTGACGAGGTTAACAGACAGATGAGGAATCCAAATTGACGGTTCGTGAACGGGTCTACGCCTAGGTATAGTAGTACCAGGTACAGTCGTATTTCGTATTTCGCAAAACTCTTAGCATAGAGTAGTAGTTTGGTGGTGCTCAGGGTCCGACGAAAACACGAAATACGAAACACGAAGAACGCATCTGGCAATGGTACTGAACGCGACTACACCTACCTTCACTGGCCTTCGGCGATTTATGCCGCGCCCAGTACGTCGTTCTGGCGTCCTGGTAGACGGCCGCTAACGGGTTCTCAAATGTTTAGCGACGGAAGCCGGAGTCTGGGTCCTTCAACGACTTCCTGTCGATTACGCCACCGATCGTTTTCCATTCGTCCCAGGACGAATCAGCCACAGGCGGACTCTTCTCCAGGATCTACCCGCATGCTCCAGCGCCACACTACATTAGTGGGCTGCCTTTGGCGAGTCTCTACCACGTGAAACTTCAGGCACATGCTGATTTGGACAGGGTTGACGTGCGTCCTGAAAGACCTCGGGAGGACCCCGGATCGTGTCAGGCCGAGATGTGAGCCACCGTAGCGCGCCTCGGGGGTCCGATGGTGTACCTGATAATTGCTTTTTTGGTAGATTTTGAGCCTCAAAAAACTTTCAGGGGGGCAGTAACTAGCAGAATGCATGATGATATCGTTGGGCTGCTGGGGGAAATAGCATGTTGCCGGAGTTTCCTATTAATGCCGAGTGACAGTTGAATGACGAGCGTTCAGGGTAGGAGCTTTTGAACGGAAGTAGCAGCAGCAGCAATGCTACCATCACCAAGGGCAGTCAGGGTCTTCTGACACGCCCCATCACCCAGATTGTCTGTTGTTTCCATTGCGCACCTTAGGATAGGTTGTAGGGTAGGAATGTAGACATTCACTCGACGGTGACGCTAATACCGACTGCCCAAGCCAAAGTCTCCAGCCACACTAACCTGTCGTCATCTAATGCCCGGTGGAAGACGTTAAGAGACAACTCCGACAATGTCCCATATCTAGACTAATACCAGATTCGCGCCGTAGGAACCCTCGATGCACTCATCAAAACTTTAAAGTTGTCCAGAGTACGCTCTAGACGTTCCCCAGCACGTGGCAGCGGATGTAGTTCCGATCGACGCTATATTGGCGAGATGCCGATTCCCTTCCACAGGCACCATCATGATGGTGCATGTTTAAACTTCCCGCCCACAAATACCATCAAGATCGTGCATGGCTAAACTTTGTCGGTGCCATGAACTCGGGAGCATCTCCGCAGATGGGGTTTGAGATCCTTTAACTATGCCTCGCGAGCCAGCATCTGTATTTTGAGCAGCATCCAGTCCAGTCTCGTGGTCGCAAGCAACACTCATTTGCTAGGAGAGCGCCTCCAGTACACGCCATGTTGAACGATCTTTACCGACCCGGTGTCGTGAGCGAGCCTTGGGGGCCACTCATCTCACCCGATTACACAGAAGACGAGTTCACCAATCTCGATGTCCTTGTCGCTTCCATTCCATGGGCCCTCACTTTGGCAAACGTCCTGCTCGCTTTGTGGCAGATCTACCATCAAACCAAATTGGCAAAAACTCCGATTCGAAGTCCTTATTTATGGATGGCCTGGTTGGAGCTGGGGGCTTGTTTTGCGTTGGGTCTTGTTGGCTACCTGCATGTGCTGAAACACATTCCAGCGAGTGAGTATCATCCGTGCTCTCGAAGACACTATGCTGATAGTTTGCAGGTTTTGCTTTCTACTTTGCAATCTGTAAGTCGCATTCATCAAACTGATCCTACCACAACTGTACTGACTCTGCATAGTGACTTTCTGGAGCTTTCAGGTCATGCTTCTTTTCCAGATTATCGTCAATCGCATCAGAGTTATTGATGTTAATCGCATGCACGGCGACCGCATTTTCATTGCAGTAACTGTCTATATCACGATAGTCATTATCAGCGGCTTCATTATCTGGATCCCAGCCCGGATGCAAATAAGCCACTATTGGGAGTTCATCAGCGCGGCTTGGGATCGCACCGAGAAGTGTCTATTCCTCATTATCGATTTGGCGTTGAACTGGTACTTCTTGAGAATGGTGAAGAACAATTTGATCCGCAACGGTCTCACAAAGTGTAAGCCAGTTCATGCGAATGCTATACTACAAGGTTAGCGCTGACAGTTATACTTACATGCAGACAACAAAATCGTTCAATTCAACCAGCGCATCATCGTCCTGTCGATTCTAATGGATGTTATGCTTATCGCCGCTACCGCTATACCCAAAGCCTTTGTGTAAGTCACTCTTCATCATTGCGTCTAGTCCTATCTTAACGATTTGCCATCTCAGCTACGTTCAATTCCATTCGCTGTGCTACCTCGTCAAACTCAACATCGAAATGGCCATGGCCAACCTGATCAGACGCATCGCCATCTCGAACTTCAACCGCACTGGTGCAGTACACGAGTTCAAGGACCCATCCACCCATGCATCGGAACCTTATAGCAATACTTTCGCCTCCACCCGGGGCAGCGTCCAGCTCGGCAACATCGGCAAGAGCGCCAATGCCTATGACTGCAACATCAAGGCCACGACACAATACACTGTGACTTCAGAGCCCAGTTTATCCCCAAAGGATAGTCGCCGGCCTTCACATGTCGAGGTGGAGATCTCGAAGGGGCACACGGACAACTATGGCGCGATGAACCGACCAGTGATTGTCATTGAAGAACCGGAGACGAAGAGCTTGGACGGCGCGACAGAGGTCGCAGAGAGTTACCATACTGACGATGAGGCTGTGCTCGTGAACAAGAGGGGCCATTGGTGATTCGGATTCTGTTGATCTCTTCGCAACACTTGCTCCAATGGGGATTGCAATACAACTCAACCTTGGAAACATTCGCATCGCGGCGAACGGCCATACAGAAATACCTTCAATCGACTGGCTCTCCATGACACCGTCACTCGTACCAGTTGTGGCAGCTTTGAGCCTACTCTAGGGTTGCAGTATGAAGTATTTGTCCATAACTTCAATGAAACCAGTGGTTTGTGCCACCCCGAGGATGCTGGGATATGGTGTGCAGCGGATACAGGAGGAGCAATTTTGGTCATGTGATGAGGATGGCAGTGGTAAGACCATCGTGTTCTATAGTCTGACTAGAATTTCGTCTTATCTAATTGTAATGATAACGAGCGGTATCGCCAACGCATGATCATGCCCAAGTCTCATACTTTGACGAACAATATCCTACAGGTCCATGGCTCCATCGAGGACTGACATCATCGTTGTCAAACCGAACGATCGGAGATAATATTGAGTGCTTCTTGCCATACGCCGTATCGTTGAAAGTGACCATGTATCCATCACGGCGCAGAAGGTCCGAATGGCTTGACCAAGCCTCCCCAAGGATGTAGAGAAGATCTTCCACGTGCAGGTCTGGTGTCATGGGTTTGAAACCATACTTGTCCTGGATTCTCTTCACTGTATCCGGCGAATACAATCCAAATGCCTCTCCCAGTTGTATCACATCCACTGACGTTAGGACTGAGGTGGCGTGATACGATCCGCCCTTAGTTGCGCGATCACGTAGAGCAAGGAGAACGTTGACGACACCGACCGCGCCAGCTAGCATGTCGGCAACGGGAAGAGCAGGGAGCACACTGACACCGTCCTCGAATCCATAAGCTTTGCCACAGACATAAGAGCATCCAGAAGCGGCATCGGCAATCTGCTGGAATCCCGGGCGTTCTGCGTAGTAGCCGTCCGGTCCATAGGTATTGAGATCAATGTAGACGATTCCTTTGTTACGTTGCCTCGACATCTCAACCAAGTCCTGTAGCCCGAAGCCCTTCCGCTCGAGAGAGCGTAGCCTGAACGCTTGGATCATGACATCCGCATCCGCCATAAGGTCAGTCAAGGCTTGCCTGTCGTCCTCTTTCTGAAGGTCCAACGCATATGTACGTTTACCGGCGGTAAGCGTGATACTCAAAGGCTAGTGAATGTCAGATCGATGTAATTATAGAGCGTAGAGCGCCTCGTACCTGCAGATCGGGGAGGTCGGGGCTTTGAACTTTGATGACGTCCGCACCCAGGGCTGCAAGAGCCGCTCCCATTGCTGGACCAGCGATCACGCGGGCTAGTTCAACAACCTTGATGCCGGCCAACGGGCGAGCATCACCAGTCTGTGGAAAGGGTACGGGTGGCAATGCCGAAGTGCCCTTGACCTGCGCGTAGTCGATCAAAGGATGCGTAGCCAGTCGCTTGCCCATCGACGTTTCTGCCCAGTGTTGTGGTGTGAAGCAAGTCTGCCCGCAAAATCCGTTCTCCATGTTTTTAATGTCAAGTTCGGCGGCTGAATACTTGGAGATGGTGGATTTGATCAGCTCATACGCCTCTTCTCTGGTGCCAACAGGGGCTTCTCCGTCGATATCGTAGGCCTTGAAAAATGCTGGGGCGTTGAGGTTACTCATTACCTGATACCAGACGCGAGGATCCCGAGTTGGGTAGATGGCCCACGAGCGAATATACATGTGATTCTTGCTGACGCAGCCCTTATCAACATCCAGACTGGCTTTTGTAAGGGTGCCATCGGTCTTGACATCACCGAGTCCTTTACCGTCGATGTCGACGAGGGCTACGGTGGCAGGATACAGACCACACTTGTCAGTGTCGATGTGAATTTTACCCGTTTGGATGCCTTTAAGTGCGCTGATCTCTTTGGCAACAATGCCGATCATGGCATGTAGAACGGCGGACTACGCAAAGAGAGTGAGCACATGGTGATTTTTGGAATTTAGGGAGGAATGAGTACGCACAAAGACCTGCGATTTCAAGGGTCCTGGGATGATGGGTAGTTCCCCCCCAGAGAATTCGACATCATTCAGGGCAGCCTCCTCGGTCGTGAAGCCAGGTGTGATACCAGCCAGGTGTTTCAGTAGCCTACTCGCATCGGCAGGCACACCAATGAAGTCGCGATCAACGAATGTTCCAGGGCCAAAGGTGTCCTTTGTCGTTTGATGCACAGCCATGACGAGGGTACAATCGTGCTTGGAGAACGTTGATACTAGCTAAGTGGTGAAGGAAACGAAGAGAATGCTTCTCTGAAAAGTAGAAGGATGTGCAGGAAGGAACTCTGTAGACACTGATGACATTTATAATGTATGGATGAACTCCTTTTTGGAAACAACCATTGTGTAACGATACCTGGGAGTCCGCAGCCAATCCCGAGGTCGTATTGGGAAGGGTAACATTCCATTGGCGGCTGTGGCTTACGCCCGTAGACGGTAGTAGCATCTTCGAACGCCGAAGTCTTGATGCCAGGTGCAGCGTCTAGGCTGCGCCTGCAGAACAGAATGTCGGCACGTTGGGTGAGGCCCGGGGGAGCCGATCGAAACACGTGAAGAGCTTTGGCCTCGGTTGGGCCTCCTTCCCGGCTCAACGTCCCATTGGCTGACGGCCAATCTTGCCTCGGCACCGCCAACTGGCTCTCATCCATGTATTGGTTGGGACGGTGTTCAATCTGTTCTACTATCAAGTGATGATGATGTTTGGAGACCAAACCTTGCATGATGCAACGTGCAATGTCGTAGACTCTCTAACAGAACTCGGCCGACCTTTCGGGCGAGCCATGGGAAGATCTGATGCGACACTGGTTGCAGCTCATTCGCAAGCAATACTCCTCAGTAGGTCTTTTAAGCGGATATACTATGTTGACGCTGTTGGACTTCGTGCGAAAAAGAAAGGTCTGTACTAATGCTGGTCGCAGCTTCCCGGCCCTCACCGTGTAGGCACACCATCTGAATGTACACCTCCAAGTAACAGCCCGGCCGATACGTACCAAAGTCGATCCAGTTCCTGCGATCGCATTAAAGGGACGACGGCCCCCGTCAAGTAACCATCCAATCTTTCCTCACAGACCTTTCCAACCATCCTTCGCAGTCTTGGAACTCTTGTATCTTTCGAATATGTCCATTCGTACTGTAGGTATTGTTGGCACTGGCGTGATAGGAGCATCGTGGACCGGTCTCTTTCTCGCTCATGGCCTGCGTGTGATTGTTGCAGACCCGGCACCTGGCGCAGAGGAGAAACTGGCGTCCTATCTGGAGAGTATCTGGCCTGCGCTAGAGACCATGGGTCTTGATGAAAAGTAATTGCAACACTACACTTATCCAGTGCGCCACAAGCTGATTCGAATTCTCCATCCAGCGCCTCTCTTTCGAACTACGAGTTTGTAGGCGCGACTCTAGGCAGACACTACAAAGACGTGGATTTTTTGCAAGAGGTGAGTGTATAGAATCAGCTGCTCTACAAGTTCACCAGCTGATAGGATGGCACAGAATGCGCCCGAAAGGCCAGATCTTAAAACCAAACTTCTTGCCGAGATCGACGCGGCTGTTCGACCAGATGTTGTCATCGCCTCTTCATCTTCAGGCATTCCAAGCTCGAAATTCATCAGCCAATGTCAGCACCCTGAACGAGTACTCATTGGCCACCCATTCAACCCACCTCATCTCATGCCACTTGTGGAAGTTGTCCCACATTCAAACACAAGTGCGTTAGCTATCTCAAATGCGATGGCCTTTTACGAGTCCGTGGGACGGCGTCCTGTTCACATCAAGGAGGAAGTACCCGGCTTTGTCGCCAACCGTCTTCAAGCTGCCCTTTGTAATGAGGCATACAGCCTAGTGGCTCGTGGTATAGTCACCGCCCAAGACCTTGGTGAGTTTCTCGTTTTCCCCATGTCTTTCTTGGTTTGCTGACCACAGGTGCCCAGACGCTTGCGTCACTACTAGTCTGGGGCCTCGGTGGGCCATGGTTGGGCCATTCCTGGCGAATGCAATGGGAGGAGGCGGTGGCAGTGAAGGGTTCAAGCACCTTCTTGAGCATCTAGGACCTGCAAGCCGAGTCTGGGTTGAGGATATGCAGGAACACAAGTTCGACTGGTCACAGGATAGCATTGATGCATTAGGTTCAAGCGTTTCCGACGAGCTTCAAGGTAAAGACGTCCAAGAGCTCGAGCAAAAGCGGGATGACGACCTCGTCAAGTTCTTCAAGATCAAGGGCGTGAGGCGTACAAGCTTCCATGGTATTGCGCTTTAATTCCATCGATCCCGTAGCACGAGTACCATTTCTGTCCAAATCGCAATTGCGCAGGCAGCAGCGACCGTGCCGCATACCTCGCCCGTCCAGTACTAACCCAGAGGCGAAATTGCAGGGATGCCCCTCATACTAGCGTCTCAATGTGCCGGACGAACTGCATTCTTTTACTACTTGGCGCAGCCTTTCCAAAAGCCAATACGTCTACCAACGTTTACTCATACGTACACATCTACCCAAGTCACTCCTTATCTCTGTTCCCCCGACCGCTATGGAAAACATTTCAGATTTTCTCGACCACCTTTGCGAGGCGGAAGAGCATCGAGTACAGCTTCTTGTACGTTGGGGCTACACGATTTACAGAACATATTATGGCCCTGGCTCTGATGAGCAGTGGAAAAGGCTGCTGAAGAACATCACCGATGGTGTGGAACGAGGTCTCCCCGAGATGGATGGGGCGGGTAGGATGCCTGACGCTGTCGCGAAAGCAAAGTATCAGTTTCGACTCGATGCACGCTCACTTCCCACCACCTTGAACGACTTATCGATGGAAGACGTCCGTCAAGTCTATCGGGAAGGAAGTGGGGGTCAGCCGATGAGAGGGCTACAGTGTAACAACTGGCAGAACGCCATCTTCCTGTTGGCGGATGCTCAGGTGCTACAAGATCCTGATCTCAGCCTGGTCAAAGTTTTGGACGCGGACTACGACCCTATTCGTGCTGTGCCCACTAATCCACGGTATGGTCCACAGCGACGAAATTTTGCATGGTTGACTATCCCAACCACAGCCGTTTTGGACCTCTACAATTATGTGGACATGCCCTTCACGTTTGACGAGCTTGAAGATCTGGCTGGGAAAGAGAGACATTGGGATCCATACGAACAGAAGTGATAGACTATGTCTAGGTGTAGGAGACGGGTAGAAAAGAGAAAATGAAGTTATGGTCACTGCGAGAGGGCAGTTACAACGCTCACCAAGCGCAAACATTCCCAGGACTAAAGTGCATCTGAGTGAAGTGTATTACTGCAAGTCTACCAACCAACCCCACCACGACCACCACCTTTACCGACTTCCATGTCTTGTTAGTCTCAATCAACGTCCATGTTACCACCTACTTTCATCTCTTCGCTCATAGAGATTTGAACAAGGAGTGAATCCCGACACAAGCGAGACCCAGTCCAAGCACGACAATACGAAACGTCCAAAGATCCTGTCTCTCGTAGTCCCTCTGTTGTCTCTGCTCTTTCTTCTGCCGTCCCTTCTCCCGCCATTCCCACAGCTGCGTCTGCTCGCGGACGCTTTCAACATCATGCACCAGACTCCGTACAACCCGTTTCGCCTCGCGCTCAGATACCTCATGTTTTGCAGCAAGTTGCTTGATGAGGAGTTTCTTTATCAAATCCGCTCTTTCGCGGCGGGCAGCTTCGAGGCTTTGGGTACGAGCATTGTAATTTTTCTCGCTGTCGGCGCCGGAGTAGTCTGTTGGCGCGGTGGCTGCGCGTGTGAGATAGTATTTTTCTATCGCTTTGACTAATTTGTCGTCTGGCGGGAATGGTCCTCCAGTGAGGGGCGCTTTGAGGTGGACCCGTTCGTGTGCTGTAAAGGGGCAGGTGGCGCAGTGGAGTGCTGGGTTGTGGACGATGCGTTTTGCAACGGGTTTCGAGACGGGCGTTGTAGAATGCACCGCTCGTGCTTGCCGCGAAAGTGGGCGTGAGGCGTTCAAGATGCGTGTGCGCATCATGGGTAGGAGAAACGACATTATGGTGAGACTGGGTAGTTTTGATAGTTAAGACGACCTCGGGAGATGATTATGGGTATATGAGCTGTTTGAATTTTTTTCTTTTCTGTATGCCATGTAGGCAGCAAGATAATATTTATCCGGTCGTGACAGTCATCTGGTTCTCTGCGGTTTTCCGTCACAGTACCACGGTTCCAGGGAAGACACTCCCACCGACCTTGATACATCGGGAGGGACCGGCTTGGAGTCCACCCATGCATTCCTCCATACAGGCTATGATAATAGTAATCGCGCACGGAAAGAGGTGCTCGCAGAGAATGATTGCATATACCACCTACATGCGCGGGCTGGGATGCCGGGTTGGCGGACGCGCTCGTAAGATGATGCGCTCAGAGACAAGCTTGATAATTAGGTAGATGTTCAAAAGCCAAAGTGAGACATACATCGAAAGAACAAGAACATATCGTAGCCAACGAGCGGCAGGCAAACTCGCCAAACCAACCACTTCTCTATTTCACCACAGCCACCACGACTATCTAGTATCTACTACTTCCACCAGACTCTACATGCTTTCTCAGGATATCATAGCTCTCGCAATATACGCTCACCAACAAACCAACGCAAGCGAATGACGTGAAAAAATGCTGTGCGAAAGATGCATGCTTATGTGACTGACGTCTACTCAAACGACCATCATATACACAGCCCAAAAAGGAAACCACCGGGACCCGCCCAAGCAGCAATGACGATGCGTGAGTGGATGACCAGTGGGAAGAGAATAGACAACGTTCCCCTGTCATGTCATATACACATCCACCTCTTTCGCAGGCAGGCAAAGGGGATGGACAAGCCTACAAGAAAGGCAGCACCACACCCTTCCTCATCGGACTGCCCCTTCCATCCACCGTGCTGCCCTCAGCACTGTATCCAGAATCGCGATCAACGTCGTCGTTATCAAAGTCGATATCGAAATCCGGTTCTTTTTCCTCCTCAGCTTCCTCGCCGTCCTCATCACCGTCCCACGCTTTCTGTGTCGCGCCGCGCGAGTTCCAGCGTAGCGTGCGGCTGATGCTATCGAACCACTCTGTGGGCTGGGAGAGGACGGTGGGGAAAGGGTACTGGGAAGCAGCGATGGTGACGTGGTCGCCCTGGCGGAGCTCGACGCGGCCCTTGCCGTCGAAGGCGCAGTAGGC